TAGGCCTCATTTTCTAACTGAGGAAATGGAAGCTGTTAAGATAAACTATCTAATACTTGGATATGAGACCAAAAAAAGTGGGTGGCATGTCCTTTCGGTGACATGGGAGTGACAGCTTCTTCAGGATTATCCAGCGTAATATACTTCAACTTATTGTTTATTCTTTTTATTGATTGATTGACATATAGTTGATTATATATATATATAAAATATATGCTATATACAGTTTATTACATAGTTGATGTGTTAGTTTCAGGTGTACAGTAAAGTGATTCAGTTGCACACTTCTTCAGATTCTTTTCCATTTTAGGTTATTACAAGACACTGAATATAGGTCCCTGTGCTATACCGTAGGCACTCATTGTTTATCTGTTTTATATAGTAGTATCTATCTGTTAATCTCAAACTCCCAATTTATCCCTCCCCCATACCTCTTTCCCTTTTGGTAACCATAAGTTTGTTTTCTATGTCTGTGAGTCTGTTTCTGTTTTATAAGTAAGTTCATTTATATCACTTTTTTAGATTCCACATATAAGTGATATCATATGGTATTTGTCTATCTCTATCTGACTTATTTCACTTAGCATGATAATGTCTAGGTCCATCCATGTTGCTGCAAATGGCAATATTTCATCCTTGTTTATGGCTGAGTAGCATTCCATTGTATAAATATACTACATCTTCATTATCTTTTCATCTGTTGATGGACATTTAGGTTGCTTCCATGTCTTGGCTATTGTAAATAGTGCTTCTATGAACAGTGGGGTGCATGTATCTTTTCAAGTTAGAGTTTTTGTCTTTTCTGTATATATGCCCAGGAGTGGGATTGCTAGATCATATAGTAAGTCTATTTTTAGTTTTTTTAAGGAACTGCTGTACTGTTCTCCATAGTGGCTGCACCAAATTACATTCCCACCAACAATGTAGGAGGGTTCCCTTTTCTACACACCCTCTTCAACTTGCTGTTTATTCTTGATATAAGTTTCCAGACTTAGTGATAATATATGTTAACTTGTAGATTTGTTTATTTGTAGTTTTTTTCCTGGTAGGAGTATAAATTTCTGTGCAACAGACAACCCCAAAAGTTACGGTTTAACTAGTTTTGTATCTCACCCAACAATCTTATTCTCCTATAAAGAAATACTTCAGCTCCACAAATGCTCTTTGAATTGGGCAGGGCATCTTACTGGTTCCCTCATTATTGAATATGTCAAATAAAATCTTTGACAAGCACAGTCTAAAATGCACCCTTGGTCTCACCTCAGGTGTTTCCCCTCTCTCAAGTTCACAGTCTGTGTTGTTGTCCAGTATCTGAAAACAGCTGCCCTGTGTCTTTTGTCCAGTCTTACAATTGTTTTTACCCAGAGAGGGCTAGCCCAGAATCTGTTACTTGTTCATGCTGGAAGCAGAAGTCAGTTACACTTACATGAGAGATGAGGGACCTGAGAATTGGGAAGGTTTAGCAACTTGTCCAGAATCACACAGCAGTTTAAGTGCTGGAGCTAGAATGCAAACCCAGGCTGTCTGACTTCTGAGCTGCTCACTTAATTACTGTACCATGTAGCTTCACGGTAAAATAGCTTTATATATACATGTGAAATGTTTTGTCCAGTGTCAAGAAACATAGTAAATTCTTAATAAAAGTCTGGCTATATTGTTCTTTAAAAGTCTAAAGCTCATTAGAAATTTGTCCCTGACCCAGTGCACAAGATAGTCAATAGGACAGAGGCACCACTGCATGAGTTGGTTTTGTCCTGATTACTACTAATCTTTATTACTCTCCTACTGTTACTGAATAAAAAGAGGACATTTGCTTAAGTGCTTTATTGCCTAAGTCCTGTTTATTTGCATGAACCAAATATTAAATCTTTAATTTGCTTTCTTTTGCCATTAAGATCTATCTTTATTCATTAGGAATATAAAGCAAAACAAGTCAAACAAACCAAGCAATCAGGCATAGATGGTACTCCTATCAATTTCTGAATTTCAAATCAATAAATACTGTGCAGTAACACACCCATCTGGCCATGAAGGAGACTGCATTGGAATGAAGGTATAATGCAAATATTTGTAATAGCACCCAGCACTTAGTCTACCACATAATTCTTAATTTTTAATCTAGTACCTAAATGTGCTTTAATTTTCATCTCATGAAAAAATGTATAATGGTGACATCTTTAAGCCCGTGACTTTCCTTGGTTTTAGCCTATGTACTTGAACAGAGTTTGCCTGTTTTGTGCTTCTTCTTACCTGAGATATATGTAAGTTTTGCAAACTTCAGTTATATCTACTAGCACAAAATACAGCAGACACATTGCAGTTATCCACTCACTCCCATTGGTAGAGGAAGGAGAACTAGCTTATTCAGGTCTTCTTCCCATGACACCCAACTCTTGCTCCAGGCCAAACAGACAAGCAGATAGACATCAACGCCATTCCATCGACTCTGATCTCTCTGTTCAAACTGACCAAGTAGCAGCCGCCAGATTTTCACTGCACATTGTTCTCTGAAGCTGGTCCTTTGGATAATTTCTAACCTAAGCAAATTTACAAAGGGAAATGCATAAATCAGGAAATGATAAATAGAATAAATGCAAGATTTGGTTTGTTACCTTCCAACAATCCCAAACTTCCTGTTTCTGGTATCAGCTTTACCTGTAGCAGAAAGCCATTATGATCTCCTGTCTGTGAATAATTCCAAATATGCTGTCAAGCTAGTAAAATGTTTAATAATTTCTTTAATAATTTCCACACGTTCACAATTTTTCAGATAAAGCTGAACTTCAGTGCATCAAAATAAATTCATTTTTGTCTAGTCTATTAAGAGCAGCTGCCTAGTTCTAATACTCGGAGGCTTTCAGGGTTAGAGTCTATACTTCTTAGAACTCATATTGTAGTATGTGCTCTTCCATGATTTTTAACTGTCCTTTGGCCCTTGAAGTGCAGTGTTATTCTAGATGTAGCCTTACTCATGGCAGGCTTTGTCCTCAAATTAGGATCGTTTCTATTTCATTTCCTACATTTCCCTTTGGATGACAAGAAGAATCTTTTCAAAATGCAAATATGTTTTGCCATGGAGCAGTACACACACCACCCACACAGACCTGCAAAAACATTTTTTTAATAAAAGGCAAAAGAGTGGGGAGGGTATAACTCAGTGGTAGAGCACATGCTTAGCATGCACAAAGTTTTGGGTTTAACCCCCAGTACCTCCATTTGAAAAAAAAAAGGCAAAAGATATATGATCTAAAGAGAAATAAAAGTATCTCAGAGTTGCATTTTATATCATGTGTAAATAACATGATTTATCTGACTTTTCTAATTAATATCTTTATCATAAACTATAACTGTATATCTCAGGTTGGGCTCTGCAGGAAGAGACAGTGGCAGGTTTTTATTTAGGGAATGCTTTGGGGATCACCATCTGTGGAAGAAATAAGAGACTGGTTTTGTGCAGAAAAAGTTGGGTTGTGATATGCCCTCAACCCAAAGTTCTCAGCTGAACCCGCAGGCAACTCTGAAGCTGATGGGCCCGTTGGCTACCATGCATGCTGTCCTGAGGGGCTACATCTCTACCAGGGCGCAGTAGCACATCACAAGATGTTTGCCGAAAGGTGTTTACTTCTCCACCATAGATGGCCTGGTCTTAATCCAGAACCCATGGAGTCCGCATTGTGATTTTCCCATTGGAACTTGCAATAACCTCCACACACTGTATTTTCTCACTACTAACACAGCTAATGCAACAGGCATAGTTACTTGTTCAGCCTATTTGGGTCACTCACCTAACATGGTTAACAGTACACCAGTTTTATTCATTAAGAGCCTAACAAAATACTGTTAACATTGGAGGGTGCCGCTAACTCCCGACAAAACCTGGACAGTCTGACAGAGGTGACACTGGAGCAGTGTCTTTAAGAATGCTTGCTTCCTCTGGAGTCAGAGCAGGGAAAGCACAGGCAGAAGGAAGAACGTAACTTCTGGGCATCTTATACTCAGATCTCATCATTTTATCAGTACGCATGAACTGTTTAGAACCCAGTTATATTGTCCTTTCCCCCAGCTGGACTTCATCCTCTTCTTCCAGTGCTTTATGAGATCTTCCCGTGACTTCACCCCCTTCACAGTGGGCATTTTTACTGTGCAGAGGGTCTGAGGTCATCTCTAGAGTGAGTTCATTGTATCCTCTTTATTCCACAGCGTCCATAAACACCCAAAACTAATCCAATCTTAATACCCATAAACTCTGGTTAATGCCTAAATTTCATTTCCAGTCTGCATGTTCCTTAATCTCACCCAAAAAGTACCTAAAATTACATGATTTAATTGACATATTATAGCTTATAATGTAAAACTACGTTACATGCTCTTTAGGGTTTTAAATAAGTTACATACACTGGTTTCCCTTTATTATGTAGTTTATTCTCAAAGGATTGCACTCAGATAAAATATTTTTCCAGACAGAAATACACTTGTTACATACTTCCTGCTGACAATCTTCAGATTGTCAAAACCTAACTTTATTATCGAGAGCTCTCTTCTTTGAGGTTTTCCCTGATCTACAAAGGTAGCACTATCAGCTGGCACTGACAGATGGCAGACTGGAGGTGTTACAGGATGATATATGTTAACACAAAAGGCAAAATTAAAATTTGCTCAGGAGACTTATTTCCCAACTTTTTACGCACTCATTACTTTATTTGAAACATTCTTGTAACTGAGTTGAGTGCACTGGAAAATTTTGCTTTTTTAATTTTAATGCTTTTTCAACTTCAAGTTCATCTGCGAATAGTTGTGTCAAAGAAAAAGACAACACTGCATATGCTCAGAGAAAATATGGCAATGATTCATCACATATATATTTGTAAATTTTTGCTAAAGCCATAGGTCTTTTTTTTCTTTACCTTTGACTTTTAGAAGTAAACTAGAGGTACTTAAATAACACAATATCCACATTACAGTGTTACTCACAAGAAGGGCTAAAAAAGAACAGGGCCACACTCAAGTCAGTAGCACTTTAATAAAATGAACAGAACCCATTATAACAATAGCTCTTTATTACATGGATTCAGATACACAGCAGACAATCATGTTCCCTGATGTTTAACAATCACATCCAACAAAAGCCTGTAAGTGTGTTCCTCAATGTTAATTCTAAGGGGCTTCCTTCGAAACCCCTTTACAAAGCCTTTCGCAAGGAAGAGGTTGAGCACCAGTAGGAAAGACTGTTGCTAGCGGTTTTAGTTCATCATCACTATCATCGTCAACATCATCAACAACAAACATGCAGCTTTTTCCTTCGATGTACATGGCATTGTAAAATGGGTGCTACAGTCTGCTTATGGTACAAAGTTTATAAATACAGTATACCAATACAAAGGTGAAGCCGTTAAAAACTGCTTGGTAACAGCTACGAGGAGAAAATTAAATCTGTAGTGTTGATGGAAATCTAAGAGATTTAGAAACAACACACAAATGTAGTAAAGGATTTACTTGGAAAGGGGTAAACGGGGAACATATGTGCTACTGAAGGGTTCTCCAAGCTGTTCCAAGTTTACTTTCTTTCTGCTATTATCTTTAAATACTGCAAAGCATTGTGAGCTGCATCACTCTGTGCGTTGCCACAGGAGATCCCAGAGCCATGGCAGACTGTGATGGGACTGGTGGACAGTTCAGCAAGACACTGATACTGTCCATTGGCACTCAGTTCTTCTGCAATGACATATTCAAACATGATGGTTAATGCCACATGCATATAGAGCAGATCCTTTGTAAAAACAATAGTTTTTATGACTGTCTTTCTCCATAAGCATCTATGGTCTAACCACTCCACTTATCATCTTTGTCTTCCTTGTATAAACAACTGCCCAGCTACAGTGGTTCTCAAAGACAGCTGCCTCATAGTCACTTGGGAGAACTTTAAAAAAATACAGGTACCGCAGCCTCACTCCAGCCTGCTCAATCAGAAACACAGGGCTTGGGGTTGGAGTGGCCAGATTCCTGCATTTATTTTAAAAAAAAAAAAAAAGCTCCTGAGGCAATTCTTTTTTTTTTTCTGCTATATATATATATATA